TGCTGAGAAAATCATGAAGTTCTATATATAACAAAGTTCCGGTGAACCAGGTGTCAATAGAACAAGGCCACGGACATCTGTACAAGATTTCATTAACCACAATGTTTTAGAGTGACAGTCTACACCCTAACACAGAAGGGCTGATTCAAAGCAACCAAGAGTTAAAGGTCAGAACCCAGGTCAGTGGCTTTGAACCCCGGTCAACGGGAGTGTCACCCACCATTTCGTTTTGCTTGATCTATAACGGAGCTGATGTGCGGGACATCTTGTTCTAAGCTCTACCACAAGTCTCCAAACTTCACAACAACCAAAAACCACCAGGGACCAGATGTCAATGCTTCACCCTCGCGCTGGCCATGCTGGTGGCCTGCACAGCCTCCTGTCTGCCTTGACCTCCCATTCATCATTAGCATTCCCACTTCCAGCCATATCTTCCCACCACTTCACATGTGAATAATCTCCCCTGGACTGCATGGCTGCAACAGTGACAAACAGGACTAATGACCCAATTACACTGCCATCTGTTCAACAAAACGTGCCCTTCTAAGAGAACATCCGCAGTCTTACCGGGTTTAGTACACAGTCACGAAATTAAATGACATGTGGGAATCAATACAAAATATTTATTTTTTTCAAACCACAGAATCCACCCCAGAGCCACACTATAAATTTCCCAGAATTGAAAGCTGTTAACATTTCCCTAAAGAATCCAGTCCAACCAGAAATGAAGATCATTCCCAACCAGCAGGGTTATAGGGTCTTAATGTGCCTCTGATCAGCATTGTCTGTAATTCTCCTACAGCCACATCAACATAAGCAGAAATAGTGTATGCACTTATGCCACTCGGCTGTGGAAAGAGATTCAAAACAGGGGCTTGGCCAGTGGAGGAGGGAACATGTCAATGACTTAGTTCATAAACAGTAGAGACAGATGAGGAATCATTTTCCTTGGAAAATAATAGGGGTTCTTTCACATACAGGGTGGGGCAAATGCAAGTTTACAGTTGTGAGTATGCGAAACAGAATTTATTTATAATTAATTATTGTAGTATTTACTAATTATTGTAGTACTTTCCAAACAACGGTAAACCTACTTTTGTCCCACCCTATATTCTGGTGGCCAGAAACTAAGGCAAATGTCAACAACGTAATAAAAATAATAAGAAATCCATTTCTCCATGAACTACTATGTTTAACTTCCAATAAACATAAACGTCATCTTATGTGATTATATTGAAAACAGTAACACAACGAAAAAGGTCCTATAAACCTCTTACAGGTGTCAGTCACGGAATTCACATTCTGACCTTCAACTTCAAAGTCCCCTTAAGAGGCCTAGGCTTGGAGTAAAGTAAACATATACTCTGAAGCTCAATGAGACACCATGAAAAACCAACTGAAAACATCCTAAGTGACTGGATAGTTAATGTGGGTTACCTTGTGTTGGTTTTTTAGTTGTAAAGTTTTTAATATCTCAGATTAGTGTATACTCCTAAAACAATGTTCAGTTATTTTTACAATAGCTGCTTACTAAACAATTGACTTTTGGCTCAAGGGCAATAACTCTTGCATGATAATCACGAAAATAATTGTGATAAAACAGAGTAAATACAGAAGAAATTACAGCCAGCCTCCATAAGATGACAAACAACCTGGAAGGTTACCCCGGGAGAGTAAAGGGTTTATTAAAGACTATGATACAAGTGCTCCTGCTCACTTCATACCTGCAGAAACCATCGTGTCCCTGGGTTACCATACCTCTGGCTAGCGCGTGTGCACCGATCGCCACTCCCAAGTTCTCTTTGTGCTGAAGGACGTTCGAATCCCTGTGCAGTCAGTACAGAATATTGCAAGGTGATGTATGTGCAAACTCTTCCTGAGGAATTCCTTGTGTGTGCAAATCTGCAACCCGACGAGAAGCATGGAGCAAGGGCACCAGCAGCATGAGGGGGCTGCAGTGCTGGGGACGCACATGCAGTGGTCACCGCCTTGGGCGTCCATTCTTCTGCAATCTCTCTTACTCACAAATAGGTTTTCATCCTGTACCCCAAAGAAATGGAGGGGAGCTGCCTCAAACTTGTAAGAGGAACAGGAAAAATGTAAAATGTAGTAACGCACAACTCCTGCATCCAGGTTGGTGTTTCTTCTCACAGATTCTACGTAAGAACTATGTATGTCAGGGTTTGCTTTCTGCCCCACAAAAAACAAAGTAGTTGCTGGGCTAGGGTACAGCTGTGACAACAGAGGGCATCGGATGACACTGTTACTGAAGATTCAAGCCAACTTTAAAATAAGTACCGTCTCTCAAAACCATTATCTGTTCACATTTTTTCATGCCATGATTTCAATGTGATTGGACTGGCTTTCTTGTGGATGGTTTAGAGTTAGGCTGCACACACACAATAGTCAATTTAGCCAAATCAACTTGTTGACGATCGACCTGCATGTACAATTTTCTGACTTGGGCCCCACAAAAGTCAACTGGTGGAGAAACGATATACTATACTGGCAAGAATACAGGTAAACATGAGAAAATACTTTCTGGCCAACAATGCTTCGTCAAAACAAAAATGGAGGCTAAATCTTATTTCTTCTCATGTTGCAAACTAAGAATTTAGCTAAGAACTCCAATTAAATAAGCAAGGTCAACTTTGGCTTGAAATAAAGAAATGGGTTCTTCATATTGCAATGTACCTCGGGGGTGAAAATGAGAAACCACTGGTCACGTGCACCAGGAGAACGTGTAGATACCTCCTACAGCGCCTTCCCTCCGGCTTTGCAGGACCAAGCCCTGACCCAGGGCTGGCTGCAGTCACTGCCCAAAACTTCAGAGAAACTAAGTTTCGCAGACTTTACTCTGCCCACTTTTTGTTTACACATATATTATAATAAAAAGAAGACAATATAAAATATTTCTCCATTAACTTAATAATGCAAAAACATCCAACGGTTTTAATGCCAATTCACATCATAATACAATGCTTTTATAGGGAAAGTTCTGTTGTTGGCCAAACAATAGTCTCTCCCAGAAAAGCATTTGGGTATATTATTAAGTTACTGAAGAACCTATCAACATTTTTCTTAAAAATCCAATTTTATTCCTGCAGAAATATTATTAAAACCACTCAGGAGAGACTTTAGTTGCAAGTGTTATTTATAAGCCTGCAGCAAGCAGTCCATTGAGAAAGTAAAATTTGGCCTTCATGGTAAAATGGAATTTTTCCTTGATACTAGAATGTTACTGGTGCAGCAAATCAAACTATTCAGGGCATAGGGAGAGCCCGTATATATTCTTACAGTAATTCAGTGTTCAGCAATACAATCCAAAATACTCACAGAATTAATGAGGCTAACTCAAGTCCTCCACAAAATCTATCAACTCTGGTTGACAAGTACTTAGAAAAATAAAATCTGACCACCTTTACTTTTACTTCTCTGAGTAATAATTTTACAAACAGAGGACTTCTATTAGATGACTTACTTGCTCCTAAGATCACACTTCTAACTCTCCCACCCCCTAAAAAGAAACAAACTGAATTGGCAGAGGCAACTCTTAAAAAATCCTGCAAATCAGAAGTGTGACAGTATCCCTAATGTCTTCTTTTTCTGCTCCAAGTTCTCTGAAGAGGTGACCATTAGTCTGACATAGCCTAATAGACTCAAGCATAATGCTCAATTTAGAGTCAAGCAGAATTGAGAACAAAATTTTTTCCCATTTGCCACATCTTTCTATTTTTCTTTGCCTTTCAAGAAGAGCTAGAAAAAGCTTCAGAGTCTAAACAACCAAATAGCACTGTGGGTGTAGACAAACAAAACGGCTTGGCCGTTTTGGAAGGGGGCCTCCAGCGCAGCAGTGCTACTTCTTTTCAGACTCAGATACAATGTTTACAAGATGCAGGCTACAGACTTTTTTTAGAAAGTATCTATCCTATCCTACCCATTTAAGATGAAATGGATCAGGAATCCCACACCGCTGATTATACTGGGATTTAATAACCATATCCGTTTCCTAGAGCATCACCGGAGCCAGCTTTTACTGTTGGATGATTCTCAACATTGAAAGGGGAGCGTTATTGCTGAAGTGCTGGCCACGCCTGGACCAGCGCGATGCCAGTACTACAGCAGCTGGTGAAATCATGTTAAGTGGTAGAGGGAATGGAAAAGTTCCATAAGAGTTGGTCCCTGACATTAACATGAATATGCCATGGTGAGGCGGGGGTGGGGGGGGGCAATCTGACCAACAGGTGACGTTTCATTTTCCCACTCACTCAGCATCCTGCTAGGAAGCCACTCCTGGCATCTTGGAGGGTTACTCCATGATACCATAAGCTTTTTCAGGAAGCATCTGTGAGTTTGACAACATGGTCACAGAGTTGCAAAGTGCACAAAGCTCAAGGCACAGAGTAGAAAAAAGTTGTGAACTAATGGGGAAGAAGGTATAGCAAAAGCAGAACTAGCATTTTCCTTTCACAAGACTTCCTAATCTAAACAAAGACCAACTCTTTTCAAGGAGTTTGTTTTGGTTAGGGGTGAAAAATACTGTACTGTAATGATCCGCTTGGTTTTAAAGCTGAAGGTATCCTGATGTGTGAAACCAGTATGCCGGGCGCCGAGCCCACAAATGAGTGACACAGCGCTTTAAGAGATTCTTCTGATCTTGTATTTGTGGAGGAAGCTGCTGATTCAGGCTGCCGGATTTCACTTAGCAACGGTCACTTCTCAAGATGCCTGTTCCTCATGGATTAACAGATTTCATTAAAAGATTGTCCCACTTCAAAAACCCCCAAGTCTAGCAGCAACTGACAGTTATTTTGTTAGTTAAAATTTTGTTTTGTTTTTTAAAATTACAAATCAAAGTAAGAAGTCCGACATCCTCTTCTGAGAGCAGCCGTGTGAGAGCGCCTGAGTGCAGGACCCGCTGTGCTCGGAAAAGTCTCTGCAGCTCCAGTGTGTCCTTGTGGCAGGAAGGAAAGTACATTCAACACAGTCACTATCTGTACCCTCTGGAACTCGCACATGCTGAGGAGCTGTCTGCAAAAATCATCGGAACAGGAAAAAGTATGAATAGCAGAGAGCACTTAACAATGGTAGGAACCTGCCTATACACATATTCCTCACCCCTCTCCCAATCGCCCAAAAGGAGGTTTTTAAAAAAGTGACTGTGAGTGGAGTGAAAGGGGGGCTAGATCATCAGGAGCTGAAGCTGGTCACTGTCCCACTCTAGGCCACAACAGAATCTGGCGGCCTGTTGATAAATGCCTGAGAACCACCACCACCAGCTGGACCTCATCTGGGCACAGCTTGCAGAATAGTCTGTCCTGGGTCACATTCAGAGCCTAATGAGCCCCCTGTGGGTATCATTATTCTCACTGCATGGCCACTGCCAGTGGCTATCTACATCACAAAACATCCAAGATGGTGAGGAACACACTACTTACTATAAGCCAGCTCATCCCCAGCTCTCTTCCGGGACTGGTCACCTCTGGGGGTTAAAAAAGGAAGCGTGAGTCAGCAGAACTGAATGACATCTTCACATACCGACAGGAGAAATGGATTGACATAATTGATAATGGAAGTACAGCAGACATTGCAATTCTAAACCAACCACCTAATTTAACACATATCAAACGTACACAGTAACTGAGTCATTTATAAACTGAATATTCTTAGCTAAAGGGTGCTGTCTTTTAAATATAGAAGGCTATTAAATGAAGGAGAGATTATCTACAAAGATGGTTTATACTGGGTTCTAGAAAGTTCAGAGTAAAATGTCTTTGAAGACTAAATGTGTTTATCAACATCCCTCGTAACCTTATACTAGGGCAAATTTCAGATATGAAATACAGAGGATAATTCAAAATCTTACCCTAAAAAGCTCTATTATGAAACTGAAAACTGCTGAAAGCTTTTGAAAAATCTCAGAATCTCATTAATAATGAATAAGAATACCCTTCTAGCAGTAGAACATGAACCTTTACACACATTAACCAGTTCATCTTCAAACGCCGAAGAAATTCTAGTTCCACTTTAGAGATTAAAAAACAGATTCTTATCAGGTCCTATGCTACCCATTAATGCTATTTTCGTCTCTCTAGTTTCTCAGACAGCAATTCAGACAAATGACTAAAATATCAAAGCAATGAGTAATAACGGCCAATTCACCAGCTTTTAGCTCTGGCCAATTCTCTGTCCTTGGCCACTTTTCTTTTCCTTGTATATTCTCCTTAGTCTAGAACAGTGGTTCTCAACCTTCCTAATGCCGCGACCCTTTAATACAGTTCCTCATGTTGTGGTGACCCCCAATCTCATTGTTACAAATTGAACATAATTAAAACATTGTGATTAATCACAAAAACAATATGTAATTAGATATGTGTTTTCCGATGGTCTTAGGCGACCCCTGTGAAAGGGTCGTTCGAACCCCAAAGGGGTCGCGACCCACAAGTTGAGAATCACTGGTCTAGAACAATCATCATACAGGTGCTGTGACTTGAAATACTACCTATATATACCCAATGGGTCCCAGATTTCTATCTCCAGCTCTGATATTTCCCCCTGCACGTCAGATGCAGGTCCAAAGGCCTCATCATCACCAATAATTTACACATACTGCCAATGTACATGGCCAAAACGAACGCTGCTGACTCCACTCCTTCCTCAGTTTTCCTCAATAAATGAACCCAATTCCTCAGGCCAGAGTCCAGCTCATCCTTGATTCCCCT